GAATTTTGCATGCAGATTCCTGTGCTGGTGAGAAGGATTTGAGCTGGTGAATGAGGAGTGGAGGAAGGCATTCATGAACACCTTCACAGGGCATGAGTTTTATGTTTGCTGCACTCTTTGAGTCAGCACTGTCTAGGCACACTCACTCCTGAATGAAGCAACTCCCAGCTCAAGGGACCTCCTGGTGGTGTGGCTGGAAGAGGGCTTTGGAAAACACAGCTCATCTCTTGGAAATACCTGCATCTGCTTGTAGACCTGTGACTTGAACCTTGACATCTCAGAGGCTTTCTGGGCAAGCTTACTCTCTCCATTTTCTTGTTTAACTTCCCTTTCATCCTTGGTAAAATAATGATGGGATTTGGATTGCAGCCCCAAGGGTGGCAGGGTTGAAGTGTCCTTGGTTGAAGTGTGGTGGTGGTCTGGTGGAAGTATGGTCAGCATGTGCTGGGTTTTTGCAGGTGTGGACCCCCCTTGTTGCACATCTCTGTATTTCAGGGATGATTTTGCTTGGCATGGTGTCACACAGATGCTGACAGGGAGCCACCTGTGCCTGTTTCATCAAGCAGAGTGGTGCTCACATTTAAACACCCAGCAAGAGCCCACAGAGACATTTGGTGGAGCTTTAGCATGTGCACAAGAAAGATCCTAAACATGAGATGCCCTTAAATCCACACCCAGGGTACTTTCAGCAGCTCTAGCAGCTCAGCCTATGAGGAACCTCCATGCTCTGGGGGGCTGAAGCAGGCCGGTGTACGGCAGGCTGCTTTTGGAGCCACGAGCACACATCCTGGAGCTTTTCAAAGCACAGGATGACTCGTTTCCATGTCCCTACATTCCCACCTTGACCACTGCGTATCGATGCTGCCATCGAATGGTTTAGCAGATGCACGTGGTGACTGAGTTTCTCAGCACAGATGGGGCTGAGCAGAAGGGACCTCTTTGCCTGGGAGAGCACACGTAAGGGGAGCAGGGCCTAAGAGACTTGGAGCGAGCAGGGAGGAGCAAGGAGAAGTATGTTTCAACAATCATTGAGGGTCTCAAACCACGACAATGAGCTTGAGTGTGGAGTTTAAGGCAACAAGCTTGAGGTGAGTTGTGTTAATCAGTGTGGAGGATTTGGGGTCCTGACTTGAGCTCAGCCTAGTGGTGTTTGCATTATTGGTATTTGTTCGCCGAGCCTTTTTTCCTCTGGATTATCTCCAGCTCGCACAGCTTTAGGGTGGTGAGCTAAGGGGCAGCTCAGCCCACGCTACTGGTTGAGGTTGTTAATGAGTGTGCAGACACCCAGAATCAAATCCAAGACATTGAGAAAGCTCCTGGATTTCTTTTCTCCCTGTGACGAAGGAGAGTGGCTTTTTCTGAAGATCCCACCTGGCTCAAGGAGCAGTGGGGCAGGGGGGACGCTGGGTGGGATAGGAGGTTCACCCCGAATTTGTGGGTGGCTTGTGGTGTGGGGCACCAGCACTTTTGCACAATTTTGGTATCACGAGTCAGGGCTTGTCACAGGGAGATGCTGCAACTTCTTGCAGAGGCTGGGAACGTGTGGCTGCTGTCCCCAACTGCTCCCAGTCATGGCTGTGGGGCTGAGCTGGAAGCAATCAGAGCCTCTGGGTGCACGGTGACAAACTCCTCGTGCCCAGAGGCGCTGCTCCCATAAATCCTGTAAGCGTGTGCCTAACTTCACAGAGCAAGGTGATTGCAAGGCAATATTTTATTCTTGTCAGCTTCAGTGTTAACAGTTACCAGAATCACTTGGGTAATTAAGCTCTTGCAAGAATAAAATGAAAACGCGCCAGGTGTCTATGGAGATCTAAATCATTTCTCAGAGTGGGCAGAGGAGTGGTTCTCATCTTTCCTCAGTAGCTGGAGCCCTAAAATCCCCAGAGGCAGTGCAGATCCCCTCAGAATAAGCTGAAGGCAGCAGCCCTGCTTTTCTCAGGTACCTTTTGCCAACCATCTACAAGGAACTACTGCCCAGGGCCCCGTATGTGATTGTTGTTAATGAGTGTGCAGACACCCCAAATCAAATCCAAGACACTGAGAAAGCTCCTGGATTTCCTTTCTCCTGGGTTGAAAACTTTTTAATAAACAAAGACCTTTTGCAACACTCATGACTAAAATTTCATACCAAAGAGTATTTTTGAAAAGTATTAGTGTAACTATTGCTGCAAAGTGCTGATCCCTGTTTTGCAGCTGGAAAAGAGAAGGCTGGGACTGTATTAGGGGAACTGGTTGTCTATGTCTGTGGGATGTCATTGGGAAGATCCCATCACTATTTATAAATGTTAATTACTGGGATCATAGAACCATTATAGAATCACAGAATGGTTTGGTTTGGAAGGGACCTTAAAATCCGGCCAGTTCTACCCTCTGCCATGTAGGTGCTAGATCAGGTTGCTCCAAGCCCCATCCAACCTGGCCTTCAACACTTCCAGGGATGGGGCAGCCACCGGGCAACCTGTGCCAGGGCCTCCCCACCCTCACAGGAAAGAATTCCTTCCCACTATCCCATCTAACCCTGCCTCTGGCAGTGGGAAGCCATTCCCCCTTGTTCCTGTCCTTCCAGGCCCTTGTCCCAAGTCCCTCTCCAGCTCTCTTGTAGCCCCTCTAAAGGGGACTGGAAGGGGCTCTCAGGTCTGCCTGGAACCTTCTCTTCTCCAGGCTGAACACCCCCAGCTCTCCCAGCCTGGCTCCAGAGCAGCTCCTCTGGCCGAGCTCCACCCAGGGCCCCGGGCTGAGCTCTGCAGCCTCGGCCGAGGCCAGGAGAGGGCGGCGGGGAGTCCTCGGGACACCCGGGGATGGACGGGCCGCGCTCCCAGGAGCAACTGCTTCCCACACACACTGCTGGGGAGGTCACCTCGGCCAAGGATTTGGGTGTCCAGACCTGCAAAACTCCCATAAAGCCAAACCCCACTATCTGGTCAGTGCTTTCTTGGGGTCCCATGGGGCAGACGAGCAGCCCAAATGGCTCGTGCCTTTTGCCATGTTGGCCAGGAGCGGGGCATGTCACCAGCTGGGCAGCACAGTGCTAGCACAGGGTCCCGGGGGGTGACACACTGCCCCCCTCGAGGGTGAAGCCCAGGGAAGGAAAGGACCTGGGGCAGCCACCTGAGCCCCCGCAGCTTGACGTGTGAGGTGGGACCAGACTGGCAGATGTCCAGCTGGTGTGTCTGGAGCTGAACAAAGCCGGGGATACTTAGATTTATTTAGGGCAGGATGACTAATGCCCCGGCCTTTGCAATTCCAAATAAGTAGGGTAATTAGGGAACTGGCTTTATTGACTAGGTAGTGTGGCATGAGGCAACATGTCCCTGGGTGCTCCTGACCCAGGCAGAGCTCAGGGACCACAGATCCACACAAACATTCGGGTCTCTTTGTGTGTCTGAAGATGCAGCCTGGTACCTGGTGAGGTTTCTGGAGTCATCTACCCAGGACATTGGACACTTCATCTCCCAAGAGCACCTGCCTGCATCACCCTGATCACAAATCCCTGTTGCTACAGCCATCATTATGCTTCCTGTGCTCCAGCAGGAAATAAACATTCTTTGGGATGCAGCTTCTAATTTTCTTCCTGTTTCACAAGGGATTTGTATCAAGACAGGAGCAGGAAGCAGGATTCTGTCATCCGGTCCTCTGTGATGACTCTTGTCCCAAATAGCTGATGAAATTTGTCACGCCTACACCACATAGAGCCCCGCTGAGTCTCATCTTCATCCGGGCAGAGCAGGTGAATAATGTCACCACATCTGAACGGCCCCACTTCACCCCGGGAAGAAATGATTCCCCGGGGCTTGAGGAAGTGGAGGGTGAGCACTGGCAGGAGAAGGTGGCCCTGGAGCCCTCCTGGCGCTGTGCTGGCCTCTGGTATCCACAGTGAACATCCGTGGAGGGTTGGTAGCAGCTGGCTCTGCTCTGGGCCGGGCTGCAGCCTTGTTTCCAAGCCAACCGGAGTTCCGTGCACTCCCCAAATGGCTGCAGACAATGAGCCCGGCGAGCCTCCCACGTACCAGGCTGAGCGCGGCTGATGCTGGAAGCGGGGAAAGCTGAGGCAAAGGGCTCAGCCTCTGCAGCACCCTGGTGTCATCCTGCCCTTCGCCAGCAGCTCCATGTCCAAGTCAGAGGCTCTGGCAGGGATGAGACCACCCGGGAACAGTACTGGCCCTGCATCCCTGACCTGTCTGGAGCACTTGTCAGTGCCAGGAGGGAAAAAAGTTAGTCCCTGGTCTGGTGATGAAGACACTCGTGCATGTTCTTCCCCCTGCAAAATATCAAATTAACAGAGAATAAAGGGAATCAAGCCTGGCATCACTGAAAAGCTGGGTATTACTGTCTTTGCTGACCAGAAAGCAATGCTGGAGCTCGGAGATGCCACCCAGCACAATCAGGGTCCCTCCAGGGGTGGTGGGCATGTGTTTATCTCATGGAATGATTGAGAATTTCTGCCTGGACATCTTAGTGCACTTTTATTCTGATTTTGAGGCAGTGCAACCTGTTTTTCCTCGTGTGTCCCTCATATTCCCCTCACAGGTTCCTCACGTTCCCCTCACATTCCCCTCACATCTCTCACATTCCCCTCAAATTTCCCTCACGTTCCCCTCACATTCCCCTCACATCTCTCACATTCCCCTCAAATTTCCCTCACATTCCCCTCACAAGTTGCTTGCCACAGACCTCACATCACTCAATTTTATAGTGGCCCCAGGAGCCTTCTTCACACTTGGCCCCACAGGACACCTCAGGATGCGATGCTGTGACTCTGTGCCTCCCCGCCGCCGCACCCAGCATGGCGCCGCGCCACACTCAACATGGCGGCAGCGGGCTGAGGCGGGCGGGGGGCGCGGAGGGGGCGTGTCGCGCCCCCAAGATGGCGGCGGCGGCGGGCGGGGTGAGATGGCGGCAGGCGCGCAGGCGCGGGCGGGCGGCGGTGACGCGCGGGGCGCGCGGTGACGGAGCGCGGCGGCCGCGGCCCTTTGTTGGCGGCGGTTGAGGCGCGGCGGGGCCGGGCCGGGCCGGGGCCAACGGCGGCGGCGGCGGGGCCGGGCGCGGGCAGGCCGCGGGAGCCGCCGCCGCTCCCTCAGCGCCTCGCCATGGACTCAGACGAGGGGTACAACTACGAGTTCGACGAGGACGAGGAGTGTAGTGAGGACAGCGGCGCGGAGGAGGACGAGGAGGACGAGGAGGAGGACGAGCCCGACGATAACCTGGACCTGGGCGAGGTGGAGCTGGTGGAGCCCGGGCTGCGCGTCGGCGGGGAGCGCGACGGGCTGTTGGGCGGCGAGACGGGCGGGCTGGGCCCCGGCGGCGGCGGCGGCGGTGGCGGCCTGGGCGGCGGGCCGGGCCCCGGCGGCGGCCCCGAGCAGGAGGAGGATTATCGCTACGAGGTGCTGACGGCCGAGCAGATCCTGCAGCACATGGTGGAGTGCATCCGCGAGGTCAACGAGGTCATCCAGGTGCGGCCCCCGGCAGCGGGACTGGGGGGGGACACACCGCCGAAGGGGTGGGGGGGCGGCGGGACGGGCCAACGGCCTCTGAGAGGGCACCGGGCCCGGCCCGCCCGCGGGACGGGGACTCACACACACTGCGAGGGACCCCCGGGTGAGAGGGGGGCTCCTCGGTCCCCCCTGGAGTTGGAGGGGAGCCTCCTCTTCTGCACCCCTGGGGTGATGAGAGGGCCTCTCGTCACTCCCTGGGGTGAAGGTGCTTCCTGGGCACCGCCGGAGGTGCGAGGGGGGTCTCCTGGGCACCCCCCGGGGGTGGAGGGGGCGCTCCTCGGTGCCCCCCAGGGTGGAGGCGGTGTTCCCCAATCCCCCCCCTGGATGAGGGGGAATTCCCCGGCACCTCCTGGGGCGGAGGAGGCTCCTCGTCACCCCGTTCCCCCGAGAGGCCCCTGGGGCCGGCCAGGATCTCGCTTCCTGCCATGGAAGCGTCGGGAACGAGGCCCTTGGCACTAAAAGGACTCCTCTTTCTTTGTGTGATTGCGAGCGGGGGGGCTGTGATCTTTGTTTTTGCCTTTCTCCCACTCCATCCTCACGCTGTCGGGGGGCTTTAGCCCCTCCAGCTCCTTCGATAAGCGGCGGAGTCGATGGCAAGTCCTGGAATTCCAGGAGAGGCATTCGCTCTGGTTTTGTTGCCGTTTCCCTTCCCCCTTCCTACACACAGGAGTTGAACCTTGTGTTTATTTCCAGCACAGACCAGGAGGGATATGAGCAATCCCTTCACAACCATAACTTTTTTTACTTCCAGTTTTTAAGCATGTCTCTTTAAAAGTGAACTAGAGTTCGAAATAACATTTACCCTCTTTAGATCAAAGTATCTAAGTCTTATCTGTTGGCTCCCGAGCTTTTGGGGAGAAAATTCAAGGCACTGAAGAAATCTGGCATTCCTTTCTAAATGCTCATGGCAAGGTTTGGCTCCAGCTCACCATCAAGTTCCTGATGCCGTTGACTTTTTTGCAGGTGATGGGTTTTCTTTTGTTCCCATTTACTCAATATTCAGAGTAAATAGGAGATGCTACTCTCCTACATGCCAACAGGAATAATGTGAAAAATGTGTGGATGTTAAATAGTGAGGGATCCAGTGCCCAGGAAGCAGTTGTTTTGCTGGTTGTGTGTATTGGTAAATCCCTTTAAACAAGAAAAAGCGTTCCCTCAGTGAATGCTTTCCCCCCACTGTCCTGTGCTCTGTTACAGTGTTACAGTGGCTGTAACAGCAGCTTCAAAATGTTGCTTCGTGTGCTGTAAATCCCCTGTAGTTTATGTGGAGCTGGATGCAAACAACTGTAAAAGCATTTGCATGCTAAATTAGTAAATGGCATTCCTTGAGTCAAATTAAAGTTTATAACTTTAATGATAGTGCTGCCCATGTAAAGCTGAATAAAGGAGTCTGCCCGGATTAGCTGATTACCCTGCAGTTAAAGAAGATCTCATGGTTAAGCAGGGTTGTTTCTTTGCTCCCAGTTATTGATCCTAGTATAGGGAGGGGAGCAGTTGGCAAGCAGACATGAAAACAGTTGGGAACTTCGGGTTTTTACTCTTTGAAAGAGCCATTAAAATAGTGGGCCTGTGTTTAATGACTAAGACTGTGGCCCATACTGATTGTATTGGACAGATTCTGCCATGCTCCTTATTATCTTTGCATAAGAAAAGTGGTGGAAAAGTTGCTGCCTGTGAGGAGTTGTGAGTGTTCCTGCTTGTGCATTTTCCAGACCCAGCTGGTAGACTCACCTCCCTGCTCTTTGTGAACTAATTTCTTAGACAAGGTCCTGATTTCTGATCTGAGGGAGTTGTTTCCCCCCTTTTACACTGCCCTTAAACTGTTTGATGTGTGTGCTTGACCTCTGCATTGCAAAACTAGTGGAGAGAAGTTGATTTAGGTAATGATCCCTTACTCCTGTCCCCCGAGTGGCCTGAGAGGCCTGACCCTGCAGATCTGCCCCCACAGAGCCTCCTGGCTGCTGCTCTGCTCCTGGTGCTGCGTTTGCAGTGGTTCCTCCTGGTTTGGCTAAGCCAGTCTGTTCAGAATGTCATGGGGAAACTCGGGACCCAAAATCAACTTCTGGAATGCATCAGAAGAGAGTAGGAAAACACTCAGTTGCTGTGCATGGCTGTTAAATGCCAACTTCCTGCCATCGGATTTCTGGGCTGTTTTGGAGCTGAGTGACCAGAGTTCAGGTGGTGCCTCAGGATTTGCTCATCTCTACTTGTGTGGCTGCTGGTGAAATCTTCCAGGGCTCCCTTGTGTTTATTTCCTTGTGTTTGGCGCCCAACCAGGATTGCTGCTGCTGCTTTTCTGGTTCAGTAAACCTTTTCTGGAGTCACATTGGCTCGGGATCCTGCTGCGGATCCTCGGTTGCAGAGCTGTGATTCACTTGTTCCAGTCAAGTACTGGATGGCTTCGATCCCTGTGTGTCTGTGTTGGGTTCTTGGTAGCAAAGGGTGACGGTTGTGGTTACGTTTTTGAGTGCTTTGAACTTATTTGTTCAAGGGAGGATGTAATGCAGAGCCTGAAAACTTCAGCTGGAGGTCCTGTGCTCTATAATCAGTGATTTTTCTGTGATCAGGAGTAAGGTATAAATGGGATTTTGTTTTGCAGCTGCAGCAAGGGGAGAAGGGAACAGGCAGTCATGAAGTATCTGGAAGGGGGTGTCTGAGCCATGGCAGGTGTAACTCTGTATTAAAACACCCCATTTGGGCAGTTTGTTAGCTGACAGTGCTATAGTTGAAGGGACTGAATTAAATTTATTTCCCCCTCCATTTGGTCATTTCCGAATACAAGCTGTATAAGGAAAAACACGAATTTTTCAGGACAGGGATTTGATCTGATGAGGACTTTGCAGAAGTAGGAGCCAACTTGGTGGCAAACTCCCTGGTCACAGACCCTGTGACTCTCACTGTGGCGTGGAGTGGGCTCACCACCAAACTGCTCTGTCACTTGGCCTCCTAAGACCACTGAACTTGCAGTGAACCAGGCAAGTCTCAGAATGTCTCAAATATTCAGAATATTTTACGCTTGCTCTTTCTTGTCTGAGCATAAGCAAGGTTTCAGGTGTTTAATGGTGATTTTTGCACAGTATTTGGCACTTATGCTCCTAATCTGATTTGACTCCATGTGTCGCACAACAAGAATTCCCCTCGCTCTCCAAATGCAAAAATAGGGGTATGAATAACCCCTTAACCTTGTGCTGTCACTTGACTGAGACTTTTAAACCTCAGCTCAGAGTATCCCTTCCATCCTGTGGCTGATGAGGCAGAGCAGAGAGCCATTTGCCAGGGTATTTGGGATTTTAGTTGTCTGAGTAAACAGGCGGATTTCTGGTGGTTTTCCAGCCGCTGGCAGAATAACTTAGCAAAGGACTGTAAAAACCTAGACACAGAGGTGGTGTGGAACAAAAGGCTTCCTCCTCCCAAAGGCATTTTCCCACAGTTGGAACGTCTTGCCCGTATTCTTCCTCTCTGAACTTTTGTCCAAATAATTTGCTGCCACTCTTAACTTCTTTTTTTTTTTTATTTTAATCAGATTGCTATTTCCATCTTTGCTCTAGATTTTTCTGAAAATAAACTCAAAAAATGTTTAGAATGGCATATTTATTTCTGCTCTGAGTAGAGCACATGATGTGCCTCTGTAGCCTGGCTTGGCCCAGTGTTCTCCTTGCCTTGTTGCAAGCTTGTGCAATTCCAGTATTTCCAGGTTGGATTCATTTCCCCTTTTTGCTCACCTTCTTCTGGAGCATTCTGGTGACATCAGCGTGGTGTCACCACATTCATACTTTTTGGACTTTGTAATGGTGAGATATTGAAAATACTGGGGCGAAGCTCTGAGGTGGCACAAAGGGAGTTGGGACTCTTGTTTCCTTTCCCCATCCCACAGCAGGGATCAGGATCCTGGATGTGACTGGGTGTTGTGCCTGACCTGCCATGTGATCATGAGCGTGGTGAGCTTCAAACCTGGGCTTTATCTGGAAGGAGGTGACCTCACTGGATCCAACAAAAGTTAGTCTAGCCCCAAAATACCTTTTCTTTTTACTAAAGGCTTTAAAGAAGGTTTCTCGGAGCAGAACAGGGGATGTGGAACATCAGAGCATTTGCAGCAAATACAGGTTTCTCATTTACATGGTGAAGGTCAGGTCCTTACTGGGTAAAAGCTGTGCCATTAAAATAAGCCCAAACCCAGGCCTCTCCAAAGTTACAAAGCTATGTTTGTTGAGGAATGGCTTTTTCCAGAGGCCAGCAGAGTTGAGGCAGTGCAGATATCCCCCAGAATTCCACAGCCCTGGTTAAATGGAGCTCTGTCACAGCGAGTGCAAACCCATTGTTGCAGAAGGGGTCTTATTAAACAGTGTCCACTTACTGGGACAAAACATCCTGATTTCCAGGCATAACTTAGGAAATTCAATGTACTGTGGGCAGCACATTCCAAAAATGTTGTCCAAAACAGGGATGACTTGCTAGTGAGCAACAGGAATTGCTGCTGTTGTACAGGGTCGTGCTTAGAACTGTGTTTGATGATCCAGATGACATCTTGGAAACTCGGAGTGCTTGGAGCTGCCTGACGAGCGTTAGGTGGGAGTCTGTGGGCGGAAGCACTCGAGGCTGATGCTGCTTCCATCCGGGTCTGCTCCCAGCAAACCTCCCTTGGTTACCTATTTGATAGTAAAATTCATGTCAGGGCCCTAAATGTTATGATGCTGGAAGGAAATGCTTTGTCAAACTCCATGTTTCTGTCACGTGGGGTTTATAAGGTGTTTCATTATAAGTAGGAATGCATTTAATATTTCCAAGGAGTGGAATAAACTTCGTTGTGACAAAGCATTCCTGGAATCTGGCATAAGGAATCACTGCAAAGCTTTTGGAAATGACATGTTGTTTGTTCCCTGGCTGCCAAGACATGTAGTTCTGAGTATAACAGAATTATTTTTTTTTTTAGTATTATTTTAAATTTTAGCGTTACCAGGTAGAAAAGTCTCGTTAAGTCTCCAGAGGAATTTCAGCTTTGTACTCAAATGACCCATTTGCTAAGTGCTTTAGGTTTCTGTTTGGCCAAATGTAAATCTCATGGTTGGCCACGTGTGAAAACATTTGATGCTGTTTGCTTTTGTCTCAACGTAATTTTCCAAAAGTCACACCAAGGCAGCCTTCTCTCAGGGGCACTGGGGTTCAGATGGGGACTGGTGTGAATGGGGATGTTTTCAATGTGAAACTGAAAACACTCAGTTTTTAGCTACTTAAAATATTTGTTTCTGAAAAGCTAAAGCTAAATAGTAAATACAGTTGTTGCTATTCCCTGTGGGTTAATTTCAGTGAGCAGGACCATTCTTGCTATGCAAAGTAGAAGGGTTGTTTCTACTGTAAATTGGAAGCCAGTGTGCCACGGAGAAGTCAGAATTGAGACTGCAGTTGATGCAAAACAAGTGCTATTTCTGGGTGATAGAGCATCGTGAAAAATGAAAACGCAGCTTCTTCCCCTTTTATACTTGTCCCAGGCTCTGATCCCTTAGTTTTAGCCTTGCCTGAGTTAGAGTGCTTAATAGGAAATAAACCCCAGACCTCTGATGCTCTTTGGGAGTGTGGGGCAGCCCTGTGTTCATTCAGGTGTCCTTGGCACCTGTTGAATTGTTTTCAGTTTTCTATTTTGAAACTAATCTCTCTTCTTTACTCCATGAACGAGACAAACGAGAACGTGGCTCTGCTGGTGGTGTCAGGTGTGATGGGTGAAGGAAGGGGTGGTTGATCCCCACGCTGAGCTCGTGTTATAACAGTGAGTCAAGTTTTTTGTACAGAATTTATCTGTAGGAGCCTTTTCTTCCTGGAGAACGTAACTACTCGTTTCTCTGCTTAGGAAAGTTGGTCGCTGGGAAAAGAACCTGGAATTTGTCATTAGAGCTTTATGGGAAGTAACTGCGAAGGCTGAAAGTCCTCTCTACATAGCTCAGTCCCAAACTTACCTGTTGAGGGTCGTGATTCCAGTCCTCCTGACTTCTGGTGCTTTGGAATTAGAAGGATCTGAGTATTGAGGTGATGTTTTCTCTTGGTGGCTGGAGCACTGACAGCCATAAAGAGTGTTTGGAGGCTGTTGGGTGGATGCAAGCACATCATGCTGCTGAATTTCAAGAAGTCACTCAGTAGCTGCAAGGAAATCGCAGCCTCGTTTGTTGTAAAACACCTGGGAGGGTTTGGAGCTCTTGGTAATGCCAAATGGTGCATTTGAGCTCTGCCTGGAATACAGATCCCTGATGTTTGGGAGAGGGCTGGCGGGTTTGTGTGGGATGTTGGTGCAGGAGGCTCCAAGGTGACGAGGGAGTCAGCTGGAGAAAAAAGAATAATAATTTGTTAAGGGAAATGCTGATGATATTGCAGTATCTTCACCATCCCAGGTGACTGGTGTTAGGAACATCGGGAACACTGAGTTCGGCCTTTATAGGATTCCTTACTTGCTTTTAGCTTTTGATCCTGAGCTGTGATGAAAACACTGTGTAAGTAAATGCTCTGAAAACTGCTGTGGGAAGCAAACTCAGTAGCCGAGTTTCACATGTGAGTTTGTACTTCGCAAGTCGGTGGCTTTTCAGAATTTGAAGTGCCCATATAAAACTACAGATGCTCTTGTTTGTGTGGTGTGGCAATACAGAGTCATAACTGCTGGTATTTGGAGGAGCTCACTGTGGTGAGTGTTTGAACCACTCTACGAACACAACACTCAAATACAACTGCTGGCATCAAATCTTTTCCTTGTTCTTAGACTGAGAACTTTTTCCAGATGTTGGGAATCTTTTAAGATCCAAAGCCTTATGTAGATAATTTTCAACAGGATCTGAGTCCCTTGGAAGAAGTGAGTCAGCCTTGTGCAAGTGTCTTGGGTAGTTGTGATGCATTTTGGCATTTCCAGTGGTGTTGCCTTCAGTTTTTGGGCAGTTTTTGAGAGTGGTGGGGCACCCAGCTGGTGTAGAGGGAGAAACTTGGAAAGAATTGGCTTCAGAGGGACACATGTATCCTCTTGGTGTCCTCTCTGTGGATGGCACTGCTTCTCCATGACCATGTCACAGTGCCTGTCCTTGTTGCCAGGCTCCAGCACGTCTGTGTGACAGCAAAAGGTTGTGGTCCTCTGTGGATATATTTGGGAGGGGATCCAAATACAGCTGCTGGGGACAGGGGAGCAATTGCTCACCCTGTGAGCAGGTGGTTCTTGGCTGTAACCTGGGAGGAACAGTGGTGTCCTACATCCCACCTACCTAAAACTTGGCTTCTTGGCCTTCTCCTGAGCTACTGGTGGTTTCTCACTGGTGCCCACTTACAGATGATGGCACACTAAGATCCTTCCCCCCAGTCTTGTCTAAGACATTCCTGGTTTTGTATCTTCCATGGTTAAAAACTTCTATCCCAGAGCACCATGTGGCACCTCTTGTTTCCAGGAACAAGCAGCACACAGATCCTGTCCTGGCCATCTGCTTCAAAATTCCATCTTCTGAGAGAGTACTTGTGGCTGGAACAAAGGTGTGAAAGAAAAGACTCAGTTTTCTGCCTGACTTCCTGGTCTGGGGCACCCTCCATGTTCTGTGACATCACAAACATGCCTTTTCATGTGGAGAGGGTGTATTTTAATTCACAGAAGATCAAGCTTTCATTGCTTTGTGATTTGAGGAATTTGGGAGCTGGAGGAGTTAATCCCAATGTTGGAAGTTAAAAGCTTGGATATTTGCTTATTGTCTTTACAGCCCCTCAGAAAAATTGTCTGTGATTGTTGGAGTAGGATTGTGAAGGATGCAGACTCTAAACTCTGTTTTCCAGCACATAATCAGGATAGAGAGGAGCTCCTGCTCAAGAGATTTCTACTTGTGTACAGTTAAAGTCCTCTCAAAGTGGAGAACACACATTAATAGAACCAGAAGAATCAGTATAATTGCACCTGAAAATAGTCAGCTGGCAAAATAACTGATTGCTTTGGGTGTTAGTTCAAAGATTTCTTTTTTTTTTTTTTTTTTTAACTTAGTATTTGCTTTTGCTATTAAGGAGAAAGCGTGAAGAGACTTTCTTCCAAGATAAAGAAATGAAAATTTGAAGTGGTTCTGAAGGTTTCCACTTCCTTCCTGGTGTTAGTGAGCTGGGTCAGCCCTGAAGGAGCATGTCAGGTGCTGCCCTGCAAAGGGTAGCAAAACTTCTCCAGAGCCACAGAGGAAGGAGCTGGTGTTTGAACAACCTCATTGTGTAAAAATCCCAGCAGGCCATGGCTGTTTTTACCATCCTGTGCTGCTGTGCTGTGTGTGGAGGCTGGTGGAGCAGTGACTGCTCCGTGCAGGGCTTCGCTCTGGGTCCCTTCCTTGAGGTTTGTCTCTGGTGTTCTGAGCTGAGGCACTTGGGCTGTTGTTGGTTGGCTCCCTTTGCTGCTTGGCCTGAAACACCAACAACCTCGAGCTGTTCTGGTGCTTTGAGTGCCTGACACTCATGCCAAGAGGTGCTTTTTGGGGTGTGCAGAGACATGCACCTGCAACACGGTTGCATGGATGTTGTCTTGGGCAGTTCCCGTTCCCTCACTGCCTGGATACAGCTGCTTGCAGGGCCGAGTACTGAAGGGAATCCTGGAACTCTGATTAAAGTGCCTCCTCTCTGCTCTTATCACTCAGCCCAACTCAGCAGTTGCTTTGCTGCAGTTGCCAGAAGTGATGGTGTTTAATTGCTCAACTCTGTTGTCAAGAAAAGAAATGGATGTGCATCCTCACCTGAATGTTTCCGTGGCCTGTTCTGGTTATGTATGTAATTACAGGTGCATATTTAATTTTTGGAAGACCTGTGGAGAGTTTTTCCAAATTTTGGTCCCTTCTGCAGCTGGTAACTGTGGGTTTGGTGTGTTCTTGTGCAACAAAACACGAATGCAATCAGCATTCCATTGTGTGGCAGTTAGAAATGTGGAGAGGGATTTAGGGGAAACCGGGAGGATTCACATGAATAAACAGTCTCCCTTGGAATGAGCTTTCCTGTGGGGGAAGAATAACTTAAGGATAAGTTAACTCCTAATAATCTGCATCCTGGTCATCTAGGATCTGAGAAATATGGAGTGTAAGGAAAGATGTGGAGAGAAGAGTGTGGGGGAGCCGTGTCTTGAGGTTACATTCCAGAGCAGGAGCTTGGAAGTGACAGGACTGGGCTGATCAATGTGCATCAAAACTGGGCTGAACAGCAACTTTTTAATAAAAAGGGAGGAAGAGCAACATTTCAACTCTTAGCAGCGTAATTTTTTCTTCTGGGAGCAACAGTGTAAAGTGGAAAGTCTCTGGAGTAAAATCCCACCTAGTATGCATGGAGGAAAATAACTATAATAGAAAATAACAATTTAATAAAAAAACCAGTTTCTAAATACAATGAAGATCTGGTGAAATACTATTTCGCATGCCTTTGGTTTGGTAGTTTGTAATACTTCTGCAAGGACTGAAAGGCTCTCTGAGCAAATAAAGGTGATACTCTTTGATTTCTAGGCTTTTTAGCTATATGTTAACTTGTTATGTAATAACCAGTCTCTTTATTTTCCTTGGTAGAACAACAGGCTTGAAATATCCTTCTTTGTATTGTTAAGAGAGCTGAAAGTAATACTTGAAAACGTGGGTGAAAACACTGCTATCTGGGGTGATAACTTCTGGGATGGGACAGTGGAAGGGCTTGGAGTTGTCTTTAGGGATAACTGGGATGGTGGATACTGAAACTGCCTGGAAGGAGGGTGTTTGGGATCTCTGTCCTTCTCTTGTCCCTGACTGGTGTCCTGCTGTCCCTTGCCAGGTATCTCTGCAGGCAGCACTCAGATTTGGGGGAGGTTGGGTGCCAGCCTGCTCAGTGCACTTAATTATTCACCATTCATTAATGTAATTATTCCTATTGCTGTCCTGCACATCAGGTAGAAAGCAGGACTGATTGGGTGGGTTTTCCTCTTGCAGAAGCCCAGTGCCTTGATGACAGTTACATTTTACTGGGAAAGGGACACAGGATGTTCTTGTCAGCTGGTGCACAGTCCATCAAATCCCAAATTGCACATCCAGGTTTGTTCCCTGTTCTGTACTGAAAGGGACCAGGGACCCGGGTCTGCACCTACCTACTGGTTTAACTCAACTGCTTTAGAAACACTCCTGAGTGCAAGTCTGGGTAGAGGCAAGTCTTCAAAGCCTTAGACAAGAAAATGGTGAAAATACTGGAGGTTTCCCACTCTCCCCCACTGCTGTACAAGTTGTGTTTTGCTATTTCTGTATCGAATCCCACCAGGCTATTTTCTCTGAACTCGAGAGAGCTCAGGTAGCTGGTTTAAAAATACCTGCAGCAATTAGAGACTGCAGTTAGAATTCGAGGTATATCTTGTTGGGAACAAGAATGAACAAGTGATTGCTAAACTCCTCATGCTTCCAGAACGTCCTCCCTTCAAAGGTGGCTCCTGCAGAGCCCTCGGAGGGAAAAGTTTTGGGGTGTAAACAGGCAAAATTACTTCTTGTAGCGGAAATCCCGGCTTATAAAATAACATGTTGCCAGGGCTGTGTTTTGTTGGCTGTAAAACTAAGTAAGAATAAATGAGCAGAGTAATGGTAAATAAACTGCCAAGTCATCATTAAAAAATGGTCTGAGCTAGAAGAGGCTTGTTGGGAAAAGGATGCTGGCAGGTTTTCCAAGTGCAGATGCAGGTTGTGCCAGCAGAACAAAGTGCTTTTGCAGGTAAAGCTGCTTTTTGCAGGGAAGTGGTACAAGCCATAACCACATCTGTGCTGGGGCTGCTGCCAGCCTGAAGATGCTGCCAAAGATTACATCCCCAAGCCACTGCTGCATTGGCAATGGTTTCCTGGGCCTAAATAGTTTCTTAAGATGGCTAAATTATTATTTTTTTTCCTTAGACTAAGGCATCACTGGGTGGATTCACTGCCTATTTGTCAAGGTGGCATCAACTGTATAAAGCAGATTTTCTCAGTGGTGGGGAGATGAAGTCAGCCCAAGGGAGGTGCTTTTTTTCTTTCCTAAAATGCTACAGTGTGTGGTGATGCTTCAGTTAGTGGGGAAAAATCCCTCACTGTCAAAATGAAGAGGGAATGGAGCACAAAAGTGGGTGCTGCTTTGAGGAAGGGACGGAATCAGAAGGAATAAGGGACAGAGAACTGAAGAAAAATGAAATATCCAGTGCTCACCAAACTGAGGCCTGGAGGAGAAAGAACATGGAAGAATGTTAAGGATTTTTTTTTCCTCTGTAAAAATTCTTGTAAATTGCCCCTGGCTACAAATTCTTGGGCTAAGCCCAAGTTTGTCATCAGTCACAATGTCTGTGAAGGGTTAACATGCCACCAGTGACTGTATATCCAGATATTTCTGAGCTAACCTGGCATTGCCACCACAGAAGTTACTAACTGGGATGGCTTTTGCTTAGTTGTCACGTAAGACTTCTGTCTTACAGGTTTTTGTGGGTGCCACCTCGTTGTGCTCATGGAAGTTATCATCCCTCACAATTTTCTTCTTCCTTTAATTGTTGGAAAATGTTAATTACAAGGTTCTGAAGTGGAAGTCAGGATTCAGGACCTGTGAGATTTTTGCACAGTGAATTATTTCCCCCAAGAACCTGCGAGTGTGAGAGCTCTGATTTCTGGGGATAAAGCTCTGTTCACAGTCAGGTTATCCTGGAAACAGCTGATTTTTAGGAATTGAGAGCACTTGTCTTGAGGTGATGTACAGTTTGGCTGGATTATTTATATCCTCTGTATTACACAACTCTTTGGGCACCTTGTGATAGATGTTCTTCAGTAATGCCCAGTAACAAAAGCAGGTGGGAGACAGATCACCCAGAACTCGAGACTGAACCAGCACTCGAGGGACATGTTTGTGCTGAACATCCTTGGGGTCTGATCCTCTGCTTGCACACTGTCCAAAGAGGGGACACCCTTCCTTTAATCATCTTCTGGAAGGACCTTTGAGACCAGGAAAAGGACAATTTGAGAGCCCTTTGCAGAGAATGTAGAAAACTTAACCCAGAGAAACTCAATTAGTTGTTTTGTTGGTGCACACTGGAGCCTACAGACAGACCTGCTGTGGAAACTGTCTGTGGAAAAAGAACACAAGTTATCAGGAGTTTACCCTTCTCAGTATAACTGTGATATTGAGAGTCAGAAGAACATCCTCATCCTCTCAGAGTTTGCATGATTTCTTCTAAACATTTCAAGTCTGCCGTGGCATCAGTATTTATCCAGGTTACTTCTGATACCTCCACTGATCTGCTCATAGCACCCTCCTAACACTGCCCACACCGTGTCCCTGGACCAGGTGATGCCTCTGAGCATTCTCAGAGCAGCAAAAGCCAAGTTCTGTTTTCCTGAAGACATACAAAATCCTGGTCAGCAGTACCCAGGACTTCTCTGTGAAAGTCATTCACTGGCCAGGGCTAAAGTGGCCTGTTTTTACACTGCAGGAGCTGCTGGAAGTGGGAGCTGCCAGAGCCAGCAGTTTTCCTCCCTGATGGGGAGG